CCAAGAGCAAAGCCTAAAGACAAAGGATGAAACTTTAATGATGCAATTTCACCTATCAGTGAACTGAGGGCTTTAGGGTGACAAAGGAAGCCCTCTTTGTACCAGTCCCCCAAAGGATCACATTTTGTAGACTTTAATGATGCAATTTCACCTATCAGTGAACTGAGGGCTTTAGGGTGACAAAGGAAGCCCTCTTTGTACCAGTCCCCCAAAGGATCACATTTTGTAGATGATGCAATTTCACCTATCAGTGAACTGAGGGCTTTAGGGTGACAAAGGAAGCCCTCTTTGTACCAGTCCCCCAAAGGATCACATTTTGTAGACTTTAATGATGCAATTTCACCTATCAGTGAACTGAGGGCTTTAGGGTGACAAAGGAAGCCCTCTTTGTACCAGTCCCCCAAAGGATCACATTTTGTAGGCAGCTGCTTACTTTATCTAAGTCCCAAAGGGATTATGTCTTTGTCACTATTTTTTGCCAATGCCCGCCATGGTACCAGGCATACTGTAAGTACTCCATAAATGTATGACACGTGAATAAATGTCAATTAACACTCTTGACAGGAGGAGAGAGAGGCCAGTCCTTTGCCTGTAGCAGATCTGAGATGAAAGCCAAGCCCTTTTAAACTCTTCACCAATGACTCATCATAATCAACAAACAGTAACTAAGCACCTACTGTATGCAGCTCTCTCGCTGGACCATAGGCCAAAGGCACCTCCCCAAACTGACCAGTTCACTAGTCAATCCAGGTTTCATTCATTCATTCGTTCATGCAAGTCATTGTTGAGCATTTGCTGTGTGCTAAATCTGACTCCAAAAAGGAAGACGGCACAGCCTTGGCCTGCAAGGATCTCACCTTGTAGCATCTCAGGAGCCGTATGCAGGAGCATCGTGGCAGGGAAAGCACCATAGCAGGGAAGGGAGGGAAAGCTCAGGTCTCCTAGGAAAAATCCTCGGGCTCCGAGCTGGTGAGTTGAGATGATTCAGCAAAAGCCTCCCAAGGATTTGGAGGAACGAAAGACTCAGAATAGTCAGGAGGGCTTCTCCTCCTGAACTCCTTCCTCCAGGGCCTACCCACCACACTCACAACTACCCTGTTTCCTCAGGGCCTCACAGGCTTAAAGAAAGGAGGTCATTATGCCCATTTCATGGGTGAATAAAATGAGGTCTGGGGACCCTCAGCAACTGCACAAAGACCACATACGGAATAAGTGGGACTGGAAGTCTACTGTCTCCAAGCCACGTCCTCTTTCTCCTGGGTCCGAGCTGTATGCCTGGCACAAAGGATTCACCTTCCTCTATCCTAGCCCAGTCTTACTTTGGTCGGGGTGATTTCACTGTTACCATCCCCAACAGCATCTCCATCACTCACATTTGTTGGACACTTACTCCTTGCCAGGCTCAGTACTAAGCACACTGCAAATATTAACTCAAAATTCTCACAGTTCCTTTACTATCCTTACTTTAAAGATGGAGAAACTGAAGCCCAGAGCGATGATACGACATAACTAGAAAGTGTTAGAACCAGGATCTAAACCCAAGAGATCTATTTCCAGAGCCCACACTCTTCACCACCACACTGCACCCGAGGAAAATGAGGCTGAGAGAGGTTTAGGGTCTTGCCTGAAGTCACACAGCAAGGAAGCATTGGAGCCAGGATTCAAACTCAGGTCTGGCTGCTCCCAGGGACCCACACTGCAGCCCCTGGAGGCTAAAAAGGCTGTTAATGAAGCAGACAGGGGTGGGGAACAGGAAGGAGAGGGGGCTATTTCTGTGGTGCCTCCTTCACTCTCCCAGCACATCAAGGATCTCCATCCTGGGTGGCAGCTGAATAATTTAAGCTCATCGGCTCCAGCCCACCACTACTGGGTCCCAGGTTTATTTTTATCCCAGGTTACAGCCACAGTGCTTAACAGAAATAAACCATGCTGTTCGCTTCTCATCGCCTTTACATCAACTCCGATTTGTCTGCATTCATGATCAGCTCCCCTCTTGAAGGCGATAAAGAACAGAAGACAGGTCCATATGTCATGGTGGTTTTTGTTAGAAAGTCACAAACTCTCTATGACCCACAGAGAGAGAGAGAAAGAAAGAGAGGGTTAAATAAAAGTAAATACCACAGCCTACAAATAAACCACCCTAACCAGACCCACAGCCTTAGACAGGCAGCCAGGATGTGTACAGGCAGCAAGAAAAGAGAAAAGGCAGAGCAAGCTGGGGAGACTGACTTCCCAGGCCACCGCTCTGGACTGCAGAATCTCTGGCCGCTGCCTCCCTCCCACCAGCGAGAAGGGAAATGTCCACATTTGTCTCCATGGTTATGCTTCCTGATTACCAGCACAGGATGGAGAGGAGCTGCTGAAAGTCCTCCCCCTGCACCCTGGCTGGGTGGGGGGAGTGGGGGCTGCTGGAGCCAGGAATGAAAGCATAATGCCTTGTCTTTTATGTTGCTGTGCATGACTTACTGTGTGGTCTTGGGCAAGTTGCTTTCCCTCTCTGGGGCCCGTGAAGGGTCAGACTAGATCAGACGTTCCGAACTTGAGGTGCTCAGGTGGGCTATAGGGTATATGCATCTTTTCAGAGTGGAGGTTCTCAAAGGGGTCCTTGGTGTCTCCCTGGGATAAATCTCTATAAGGACTGCAAGTGCTGCCAAACCTGGATGTCTATGCAACTGAAGCCATAAACAAAGAAGACCCCTCTCCAGCTGAGCATAGGATTCTAGGAACTGGCAAAGTTCTCAGAGGGCTGATCCCCATCCTGATTCACCCAAACAAAACCTCCTCAACACATATGATAAACTCCCAAACACAGTGCTAACCATTCCTAGAACCGTGAGTGTGTGCACACACATGCACACTCATCACATAGTCATAGAACCTCAGAGCTGGAAGGGGCCTTGGGGTCACATAGACCAACTACCTCATTGCAAAGATGGAGAAACTGAGGCCCAGAAAGGGGGGGCAGAGCTGGGGCTGGAACCCAGGTCTCCTGAACCAAGTCCAAGGCTCTTTCCAGAAGATTCTGTTTCCCTTTCCCTGGTGCACCATAATGCACCAATTCAAATGTGATGAGGGAGGAGGGAGGGCAGCCTCTTGGATCTTAACCACCCCCAAGGAAGTAAGGCTGGGAGGCAGCAAGTAGATGTTCAAAAACACCCACGTGTGGGCAGCCCAGTCCCAGCTACCTCAGGTGGGCTGGCATGCACTGCATGGCTGAACCAGTTGTTATAATATATATGTATAACTGAATCACTTTGTTGTACACCTGAAACCCACACAGCACTGTAAGTCAACTATACTTATCTATATATAGATATATAAAAACATATAAATTCTACATATTATATACTCTATATATTCTACATATTATATATTAGATATATATATTACATATTCTAATATATAACATTCTTCTATAATGTATTATATATATATATATTAATACCCCTGCACTGTATGGTTATATTGCACTGAGGCCCCTGTGGTTCCCTTGATACTCCCCTGTCCCCCTAAACCTCCCCATAATCCAGCAATTAAAGAGTTAACACTCAGCGCAGCAGGGGACCCCTAAGATCCCCCACTCCAGGGTCCCAGCCATGGTCCAGTCTGACCAGTTAATGGAAAGTTCAATATTTTAAGTATCACCCATGGACAGATCCGTGGCTCCTTATTTGAACCAAATTTCCCCACATTCATCATTCACACTTAGGCTTCCCAGGGAGGAAACGAAGGCAACTTCCTCCTCAAGGTCACCCAACAAGGAAAGCCTAGGATTTTGAGGACCAAATCTTTGGTACTAACCACCAAGCATCCCTCCCCCTCTGCCTCACATATCTTTCCTGAGCAGTCATATGCCCTGGGATTTTGGTGTCCCCACTTGGCTCTGGGGCTGGAGAAAATGACTGAGTGGACTCTGCTCACACTTGCCAGTCTCTGGGGCTGATTTTTTTTTTTTTTTTTTTGAAGTACGTGGGCCTCTCCCGTTGCGGAGCACAGGCTCCGGACGCGCATGCTCAGCGGCCATGGCTCACGGGCCCAGCCGCTCCACGGCATGTGGGATCTTCCCGGACCGGGACACGAACCCGTGTCCCCTGCATCGGCAAGCGGACTCGCAACCACTGTGCCACCAGGGAAGCCCTGGGGCTGATATTTTATTCCTCCCACCTCCAAGACCAAGAACTGAAAGAGGGAATCCTTGGGGGTGCAGAACACTGAAGTGGCCCATGAGATAATAGCGAAGATGCTAAAAATAAGGACATTCGTTTCCAGAAAGATAGATGTAATCAAAGCAGGAAGCAAAGAAAATCCCCTTTTGATGGGTCACAGATTAGCAGCAAAGGCATTTAAAATTAAATGTGAGTTTTGGATTCAGTTACAAGGGACCTCCCCTTCCCACTCACTAACAGGTTGGTGAGGCTTATTCCATCAGAATAAAGAAACTAGAGCAGGGTATGGTCTGCCCTGGAACAGATCTGAAGCTAGAGCCTGGAGCCTGGAGCCTGAAGCCCTTCCCCAGAATCTGAACAAACATTGTTCCCTTCTTTCCCTACTCTGAGACAGACTCAAGGATAAAGTCCTCTGGGCTGGTGCACCCTCTATACAATCACTTACAGGTTATACCACCTGTGAAAATAAAACATTGTCTGCTCAGCAGACAGCTGACTGCTCCCCTCTGGCCTGCCTGACCACTCATTCCAAGCAAAATGTGGTCCTTTCATGTCTCCCAGTTCTCTCATTTCAGGAAGCTTATAACAGCCAAGCTTGCAAAAGAAAAAACCACCACAATTAAATTATTCAGCTCTCCCTGGAAGATGGTACTCTCTGAGCCCAGTCCTATGCAAGACTCACTTGGTATGCCTAAGTTACCCTAGGCAAGGGTGAACCCTTCAGCCTTAGGTGACCGTTTCTCATCCAGAGTCAAAGTGTCCACCCACTAGATCAGAACACCCAGCGATCCCCCCCCATGCCAGGCTGGCCAGCCCCACAAAGGGTTAACTCACTCAGAGAACTGCCAGCTACTTCCAACAGCTTCTGCTGCAAGGGAGAAGACAAATTGGGCAGAAGCCACAATTTTGATCGCATTACCTAAAACATTAGCATATTTTACCCTCACCCTGGGCAGTGAGCAGAAATCTCATTTGGCTTTGGGGTGTTGCTTAGGCGATCAAACACTGCAGAATGTGGGCAAACAAACGTGGTCATTCCTCAACATCCCTCCCCTCCCACCAGCCCTCTATCCCACAAGCTCATGTACACATCTCCTCGCAACTGGGATTCCAATACCCCTAGCCCATTTGCACAGTTGAGAAGAATATCACTTACCAAGACACCAGAGGATTGCAGGGGGAATGGGTGAGCCAAATTCTTGCCAACTCCTCTCTTCCCTGCCGGGTGGGAAAATGCTAACTCCGGATGACTTGGTTTGAAAGCTCAGCGGAGATGCCTGAAAGAAAATTGTTCATTTGACTCTCCTACTCTTCCCAAAATAAAATCGAAGCAACTGCACACACAAACACACACACACACACACACACACACACACACACCCCAACTACCCCTAAATCATGCAGGTCCATGATGAAAAGAAATACCACTGCCAGAAGAGGAGGAAACTCAGACCACTCAGTGAAGAAGGTACACAGTGGCTCCCTCAGACTGCCCTCCACATGGATGGTTTTTGCTCTGTGAATCAATCTCTCTCTCTCTCTCTCCTCTCTTTCTCTCTCTCTTCCTGTTTCTCTCTGTCGTCCGCGTAGACGACTCTGCGCTGCTGGCAGTAGACGTATCAATCGCTTCCCCAGAGCCGGAATCAGTGGCAGCTGCCGCCACTGCTGCAAAACCCGGTGTGAGCAAGGGAGGGGGCAGCAGCTTCCAGGCGCAAGGGGAACCGAGCCTGCCTTCCACCCGTGATTTAAGTGTGAGGTGCCTGGAGAAAGAGAGGTAGGAGGCCGCGAGGAGAGATTGGGCGCACCAGAGATCCTAGCTGGTCGAAACGGCAATCAGGAGATTGGCGATCAGCACCGCGGACAGCGCTAAAACGCGGCGGCGGATGGGATGGGCGGGAAGCGAACCCTTAGGCTTCGAAGTCAAGTTATTGGATGGTAAGAGCAGAAAAGGGGGAGAGTCCAGGGGAGGTGGGGGGGGGGACAGGACTTCTCAACATCATACAGTGAAGTCAGTGACAGCCTACCTACCACACACTTGTTCTAATCTTGTCGCTCACTCTCGGTGCAAAGAAGCTGTAACTTCACAGCCCCTTTCCCACACACGCCCCCAGACCTTCACTGCTCATCTCTGCTCAGAAAAGAGTTTGACCCCAGTGTGGGAGCCTCAAAGTGGCTTCTCCCCCCACCCCACAAATCAGCCCAGTTGACCTGTCTTCACCCACATTGCTGCAGATTTCTGACCTATACCTCAGAATTCAGAGCAGGAAGATGAGGCTTAGGGAATGGAAATTTCTATGGGGCAGAATGGCTTAGTTGAAATAGCACTTGACAGGTTTCTGGAACCAAGTCTAGCCTCCATACAACCTTGGAAAAGTCACTGAACGTCTCCAAGTCTTATCTGCAAAATGAGCATATGACTATCTGATTTTCCTCAAGACAGGAAGCAAGAAGTTAAAAAGCAACAATAAGAACACCCAAGTTGTGGGTTGGTATAATCCCATGATCCATAACCTGTCCTGTGATTCAAATGTCTTGACAAAAGGAGAAAGGGAATGACAGCCAATCCAGAATGGTATGTGCCAGCCTCACCTTTCAGCTTATGGTTTGAGTGGGATGAAGTTGGGAGATTACAGAAGGTCTAAATCAGACAGTTGAGCCATAGCCAAAGACCTATCCCCAAAAGACCCAGATTCATCTTCTGAAGTGAAACCACTATATGGACAAGAAAATAAAATCATTAAAAGGAGAAATATACAAAGAGAAATTGATTCCCATGGCTTCCAATGTTCCAGATCTCAAGGGTCTTATTCCTGCTTATTGTGAGGAAAGGGCAGGAAATCTCAAATAGGCCAAGATCTGTTTAGAACTTCTCTGCAAAGTAAGTAAGAACCCTCTTTACTGGGGACCCTCCTCTAAACGGTCCCACTTAGATGGCCCAGGGTGAGCCACCACATTTATCACTTAATCCCCCTCCCCACCTTGAAAAGTAGAACTTAAAATGTCAGGATCTTAGAGACCATTTAGAGCTTCACTTTATAGATGATCATGATGATGGTGGTGGTGATGGTCTTGTGGTGATGGTGGTGGTGATGCTGGTGGTAGTGATGATGATGGCAGCTATCATTTATCGAGAATCAACTACACACCAGCCCTTCTGCTAGGAACTTTACATGTGTCATCTCCTTGAATCCTCACCATGACCTTTTGAGGGAACTATGATTATCTCCACTTTACAGATGAGGAAACTGAGACTCAAGAAATTAATTATCTTGCATAAGTTTATACAGTAAGTGGCAGACACAGGATTGAAACCCAGGGTTGTATGATTCCAAAGCCCATGCTTCAGAATGTCTCTCTCAGAGTCAAGTTCAAATGCATTCTACAATTTTTTGGCAGGACTTCATTGAATCTTTTCTAGGAAGATTCTCTGACATAGGTTCAATGCCCTCACTGTACACATGGAGAAACTGGGGACCAGAGAGGGACAGTGACTTGCCCATAGCCAAAGAGCTAGAAAGTGGCAGAGTTGAGTCTAGAACTCAGGCTTTTCAGATGCCAGGTCCTGTGTTCCAGTGTCTAGCATAGTGTCAGGTAATATGGTAGGCCCTCAATAAACATCTGAAGGGTGATTCAAGAAGCCCACACAGGATGCTGGTGGTGGAATCAGAATCCGATTAGTTCCAGGCCTTTTGGCTCCCAGTCCCAAGGAATCTCTACCCATACCTCACAGCTTCCCTGGCATTAGGCACGTGTTCTGGGAGGGTCTGTCATGAATTCAGATCGCCTTTAGGGAATGAAAATAGCTACAACCTGCTAAATGTCTAGACACCTACCACCTGTATTTAGCATCTTACAGTTGCCACTTCAAGTCTTCATAACTACGAGATGGGTGCTATTATTGTCCCATTTTCAGTTGTTGAGACTGAGACTCAGACACGTGAAGGAAAGCCCTGAAACTCACACAGGCAAGGAGTGGCACAGGCAGGGATGCAAATCCTGGGTCTGTCTGACTCCAAGGCCTCTGTTTTTGCCACCCTGCTAGTTTTTTCCTCAGACTGCCCGCCCCCCTCACCCCCCACACACACCCACACCCCCCACCCAAGAGGCCCCTGTTGGAGTGTAAATGAGGCCTGAGTTCCCCCCTCCCCCACCCCTGGTTTCAACCTGAGCAGTTGTGCTTTTACATGTTTTGCATACTGGGCAGCTGCCCAAGCCTTCACTGGAACAGAGCTTTGCAGCAAAATTAAAAAGTAATAATATGGTTGAAACCAGAGCTCTGCACCTTCCCTGGTGACCATGCCATCTAGGAACTAGCTCTGCCTTCTCAGGGAATCTTGCCTCCAGCCTTCCTACCTCCCTGTTCACCATCTCCAAACCCCTCTTCTGTTCTGACAGCTTCTGGAGAACTCTTCATTCAAAGAACCAGCTGCTGCTGTAAGCTCTGACAGCTCTGCCGCAGGGAGATGCCTGGAAACCAGACACCCCAGGGCTGAGCCCAACCAGGCTCTGGTCCTCTCAAGGATGGAGCACTGCAAAGGGATTTCTCAGTGCCTTGGATTCAGCAAGCTGCCCTGTCCGGTCCTTGCTCTGCTGAGGCCAGAGGCAGCCCATTAAGACTCTCCATCACCCCCAGAGTAGACAAGCAGTGACGATGGTGGTAATAACTATAACAAAACTACCTACTATGTTCTGGGTGACTTGTGTGTACCACGCTGTTATTTCATCCTCACAAGAATCCTATGTGTTAAGATGGTAATCGTTTTATTTCCATTTTACAAATGAGAAAACTGAGACTCAGTTGCCTAAAACAACTAGCCCATCAGTTCATAAGTGGTGGCATTGGGATTTGAACGAAGGTCCTCTAAGTTTATAACTATTATGCTATATGGCATCCTAGTTATAATTGCCTCTTCCATTTATTTTGGGTGCTTATGATTCAGCAGGTGACATGTTTTATCACCCCAGCACTATTCATGACTTATAACAGTGAAATGAAGTTGTATTACATTATTTGCCTATCTTAGAGATGAGGAAATTAGACACAAAGAGGCCAGGTGATGTGCCTAACATAATACAGCTAAGAAGAGAGGGTAGAGCAGGGTGCAAATCTGCACAGTTTATCTCAGGGCCCACGTGCTCTACTGTCTCCCAAAGAAATGGTGTTGAATTTGCCCAGAAAGAAAGAATGTTCCCATTTCACTTGGCAAGTGGGGTAGAATAATGGCCCCCAAAGATGTCCACAACCTCATCCTCAGAAGTGGTGAACATGTTACCTTACATGGCAAACAGCACTTTACAGGTATGATTAAGTTAAGGATCTTGAGATAAAGAGAGTACCCTGAGTTATCTGGGTGGGCCCAACGTAATCACAAAAATTCCTATAAGGGGACAGGGAGGCAGGAGGGTCAGAGAGGAGCAGTGATAATGGAGTGTAGGATTGAGAGAGAGAACCTATGTTATTGGCCTTGAAGATGGAGGAAGAGGCCACAAGCCAAGGAATGAGGGAAGCCTCTAAAAGCTAGTAAAGGCAAGGAAACAGATTCTCCCTTAGAGCCTCCAGAAGGAGCACAGCCCTGCCAGCACCTTGATTTTAGGACTTCTGCCCTCCAAAACTGTAAGATAATAAATCCGTGTTGTTGCAAGCCCCTAAGTTTGTTGTTATTTGTTACAGAAGCCATAGGAAACCAACAGCAAGCTTGCCAGAGGACCCTACAAAGAGAAGCCCATAGCACATCAACCTTAGGAATCACGACTGAGCTCCCTTTCGGCCAGAGGATCCAGTGCTTTAATCATAACACTGCCTGTTCTAAACAATACAGTGTACATGTATGTGCATGTGTGTGCATGTGCACATGCACCTGCACATGTGTGCACACAGAAAGAGACCGTACAAGAGGAAAGATTCATACTCAAAGCCTCAGCCTGACCATCAAGCTCTGTCGCTGGATCGCACTGCCAGGGCACAACATGCTTTATTCACTTCCTTCTTCTCTTTAAGAGCCTCCAGGGAAATGTTATCATCAGGAACACAAAAGAGAAGAAATGTCACAGGGCAGCTTTCCAGGAGCACAACTCATCACAGGGGATCAGTTAAAGACAAAACAAGCAGATGGAGCAAAGAGACAGGAGAGCAAGAAAAAGAAAGAGAATGAGCTAAAGAGGGAGAGAGCAAACTGCTGTGTCCCTGAGGTTGGCCTTTGTGCCCCAACAGATCCCATCTCACCGGGAAAGGGGCAAGTCTTGGGAAAGCCCATTAGCCCCCTTAGGAGAAAATAGGGTAATTACAGAGAAGATGTTGCAGGACTTGGCGAAACAAGCTTTTACGATAAGTCAACAAGGATTATTTACTAATCAGTCAATCCAGTGTTATCAGGCAAGGTACTTCTAGGGGAAAGAAACTTGGACTTGCCTTCTGGTGCTCTGAGCTTGATCCTTGGCTCCCCCACTCACCAGCTGTGTGACCTTGGGCATGTCACTTGCATGTTCTGAACCTCAGTTTTGTCAACTGTGAAGTGGGACTGCAACACCTTTCCCACCTACCTACCAATGTGGCTAGGACGTTTCATTGAGCTAACGGATGTGGATGGGTGTTGTATCCTCTAAATAACAAGTAGCAGCTACCATTTATTAAGCACCTACTGTGTGCTGGGTGCTTAACTAGGCTTTCTTCCTCAAGGAGTGTAGTTAAGCATCCAGCCCCAAACTACCACTGGTGCTGGAGGAAGGAGCATCAGCAGAGACAGTATAATGAAATGGTTAAAAAGCCAGGTTTTATGGTAAGGTTACCTAGGTTCCAATCTGGCTCTACCACATACTAACCCCCTCTGTGCCTCAGTGTCCCCATAAGTAAGGCGGAGATTATAACAGTACTTCCTCATGTGGTGGTCATGAGGATC